GACATGATTTTTTTTTCATGGCTCCTCTTGGCTGTGTCATTTGTTCCCACATGGGTGTGAAGTAAGGGATATGTATCTGTGAGTTTTATAAGTGATGGCATTCTGTCACATCCCTAATCTGTTCTCCAGGGAGACATCATACCTGGTGGGTCCATGGATCTTCCCAGCATTGTGTTTTCTGAATAACTATAATACAGCCTGGAAAAGTCACATCCCATGACTACCCAACTGCTGATCCTCAGTAACAAATCTCAGTATTTCTGTGCTGCTATATTTAGCTAGAATTTAAATAATGCTGGTCTGGCATCAAAGATCTCAGAAATTCACAATGTTTAGCATAAATACTACTTGAAAAGTCACCCTCTTTTCCCACTGAATTAAACCTTCTGTACGCTGTAAGTGGGAACTTTTTATTTCTTTAAAAATTTATATGCATATGTTTATATTTCTTCCTTCTTCTTCAGCCTCCTCCATTCTCCTTAATGTTTGTTCTCATATTTCACAATAGGCTATACCTTATTCTTCCATCACTATTCAAAATTATATTGAATTATTCATTGACAGTATGACATTTCCTTTTTCCTTAACTGGTAGATTTTTAAATTTACAGTTAAGATAGAGATATGGAGTGCAGATTGCAATTCACAATGGAATTCTGAACTGTAAAAAGCTACAGAGTCCCAAATTACAGATTATTAGAGCAAATCAAAAAGAGATGCAGTTAATGTTCCCAAGAGGGAAGTATTCTTTTACTCCACAGATTATGACCGTTGTCTGTTATTTCTGCTCATGGTCTGCAAAGGAATCACACCCTCTACCCCAGGTTCATCATAGTCCATGGGAAAAAAACTACACAGGTTATGTGCATATAGCTGCCTAAATTTTTCAAACACTATTTTTGCACAGGGACAAAGTTGGGGTCATGTAGTGAACATGAAATAATGGCCAAGACAAGAAACCAAGTGTATAATTACAATATCCATGATGACCCATTTGATCCGTATACCTCATCTACACCCTGGAATTTGGCAATCCCAGAAAACTGGTGACCTGATTCTACAGGATTTGAAAACAAGCAGCTTGTGCATAAAATGGTTTACAAACTGAACTGGGGTGTGTGTGTGTGTTGCTTCCTGTTATATGGTTTGCTGTGTTCCTGTCCAAAAACCACAACTGAGGAGCAGTAGAAAATTCTCTCTATATACACTGTCCACTATTTTGTCCAATATTTACACACATGGAACTTGGTGGAAGCTGCTGGAGTGAGTGAGTGAGTGAGTGAGTGAGTGAGTGAGTGATTTAACTTATATGCCACCCACAACTACCCAAAGGTCTCTGGGTGGCTTACAACAATTTAAATACAGTTTAGAAACACAATTAAAATACTATTAAAATATATACTCTAAAAATTGCCATCAGGACCCACAGTTGATATTGTTTCAATTAAAAACCTTCTGGAACAGAAAGGTTTTGACCTGGTGCTGAAACGTCATCAGCGTCAGCGACAGACAAATCTCAGTTGGGAGGACATTCCATCGTCTGGGGGCAGCTGCCCAAAAGCTCCTTTGTCTACAAGCCGTCCCTCATACCTCCTTGAGGGATGGCTCTTTCAAAAGGGCCCCCAGGCTAGATTTTAACTGCCAGGTAGTTTCATATGGAAGGAGGCGGTCCCTCAGGTATCCAGGGCCCAAGCCGTTTAGGGCTTTATATGTCAAAACAAGCACTTTGAATTGGGCCCAGGCAGCAACTGGTAACCAATGCAATTTAAACAGAATCGGCTTGATGTGTCCCCTAGTGGCCCCACCACTCACTAGCCGCGCAGCTCAATTCTGGACCAGTTGCAGTTGCCAGACCCACGTAGAGCACATTGCAGTAATCTATATGAGATGTTACCAGTGTTTGTGTAACTGTCATGAGACTCCACTCATCCAGGTAGGGCCGTAGCTGGTATAATTTCTGCAGCTGAAGGAAGGCACCCCTGCTGCCTCAGCCCGCCTGGGCTACCAGAGTTAGACTGGGGATTTAACAAGATGCTGGCCATATGTCTTGTTGTGGGTGACTAGCAAATTTGCAGATTGGCACAGCAGCATCTTCAGCTGGAGCTCTCTGCAAATATAAATATTGAGCAGGATACTGGCCAGTGGCCACTGCCACTAGGATTTATCCATTTCAGTGTTACAGGACCTTGCCAGTCTTGTCAGAATTAGTGCCATCCTTATTTCAATTACAAATCAAAAAATGACAAACACTCTTTCCATCACTCTCATTTTCTCTTAATACACTTAATACATTGAAAAATATGGGTACTTTAGTTTATATTGTATTTTAAAACTAATACTGATCGTTGTATTTCAAACTCTCTCTCCCATGCTCCTTCTCAAGTCACTGGGAATCTCATGACTCTCACAGTGGAGCAGGCTGGTTATGACCAAGGAAGAAGGTGGTTTGGGATTTGACATGAAGATACCTCCCTTTGGTTTGGGGGCTTTCAATTTCATAATTTGGCTTGGCGGGTTCTGGCCAAATGATGGGAGTGAAAGTTCTTTAGTTCTGAAATTACTGGAACACACAACTCTTCTTGAAGAAGCCTCACTGGCTACTAAACTGTTTCTAGACATACTTCCAGCCCTGTATGGCTTGGCTAAATAAAGCAATGGTTCCCAAACTTTTTTTTCAGTCATGACCCCCCTTTGCTAATAGCCAAATAACCTGCAACACCCCTGAATGTTTGCATAAAAAGGCATTTTTAATGAGAGAAAAACATTTCTTTTAAGAAAATAGAGGCTTCTTCCCACCGCCCAAAGGGCCTGTTTCTTATACATACGCATACATGAAGACTTTAATATCTGGCTCCAAACGGTCAAAGAAGAAACCTTAAGAAAGGTTACAATATAAATAAGGTGACCAGGCCCCTAAAAAAACATTTTGTGACCACCATGTTGGGAAACACATGTTCTGTCATGTGAACCCATGAAATCTTTGGAGAAACCATCTCTCAGCCCGCTTGAGAGAGACCCATTCCTTAGTTTGCTGGCATGTTTGGTAGTGACACAAGAAAGTGAATCCCTTATGGATGCATTTAGGTGGTAAAATTCCCTGGCAAAAGGGGATAGAATGGCCCCTTCCTAGAGTATATCTGCTGGTAGCCAAATAATCTTTTATTCAGGCAAATGTTTTTTGTAATTGACTGGCTGCTAAGAAAAATGCTTACTAACAAATGGTGCTTTTCCTTATGATTTTATCCTGGTTCTCCTTCCCCTACCCACCCCAAAGCTTATTTAGTCTTAAACTTCTTCTTTTTTGGTTTGATCAGTTTTTATCTGAAACTGCATTTAATCTTACGGAGTCCCTGTTCTTGGCAAAAGGTGGGATATCAGTCAGGCAAATCAAATAAGGAAAAAGAGGAGGAGGAGGAGAGATAAGCTGAAAATTTAAAAGGGGAAAAACAAAAGTTGGTGAGGACTAGAAACTGGATTAAAATTTAAAAATATTATATAGTTAACAATGTCTTTTAATTATTTTTTATCATTATTTTTCTTTGGGTTTTGCCTGATATGAAAAGAGATGCTAGATACATCTCAAATGGGTTGTGCTTGCTGGGAGGAATCAGAAACCAAGTGACAGCAGGAGCCAGTGCTTCAGGCCCAGGAGACCAGCCTCACTTAAAGTCTGCGTGAAAGCAGAACTTATGTGAATCTGTAAGGGACTGGCCCACAATAATGAAACAAGGTAGATAAATGACAAGAAAAATAATTCTAGGCTCTAAGGAAAAAGTGGGTAGAGTAAAAGAAAGGAAAAGAGAGAATTCCACAATAAAAACAAACTACATCCTCTTTATTCCCACGACCTCTCTAACCTGCATATTTTCAAAAGAACCCACTTGTAAAACAAAGCACCGAAACAGCTCTGTGATTTCAGACTGCATGGTATATGTATTTTGTTTCTGTTTCTAGAGAGACAGGGGAAAGAAAGCATACAATGTTAAGAAGAACCATTTAATATCCCTGCAACCCATCCAGAAGCTAGATATACTTCTCTCTCTCTCTCTCTCACAATTCTTCAGGGTGGTTGAGATATTAAACAGATCTCTCAAACAATGCTTTCTCTCTCTATCTATACACTCACCCTCTCCACACACTCAGATACTCCTCGTCGTCCTCTCTACTTCTCCTTATGGGCCAGCCTCCATCACACTGGAAGGAGCCCTTTTTCAATCATTTTGTATCAGAGTACACCCCATCTTGGTTCTTTGTATGGTTATATTTTGCGTCCTTTCTTAATCTCTCCCCTACTCCTCTCTCTTTCTTCCATGCCTTGGGGTATGGTGCCCTGCTGCTCTCTAGTCATACCAAGTTACAGGATAATTTGGAACTTCTGATATTCAGGTTCCAAAGGGAGTCCACCACCAGCCTCTGTTGTTGCAAACATGATTGACTTAAGGACAGACAGATGAAAAGGAAGCCTGCTAGCACTGCCAATGCTAAATGACTTTCAAGTCTTAGGATGCTGGTAAACGTCATCATTATGCGATGTCCTGTATCCAATATTGGAAGAGTGGGCATGCCCAACCAGGCATGGTAATAATTTTTTTCTGAACATCTGATGCAACACGTTGGTAAGCTGCAGATTGCCAATAGGGTAATCTGTAGGGGCTTGGACAGGGAACAGAGACAGGCTTTCCAGCTGTTCACACCTCTCACTGGTCCTTCCAGAAATCAGTAAGGAACCTCCACATATTCACACAGTTTATAGGTACATTCAAGGAAATGCGGGTAATTCACGGAGTATAGTCACTTTGATGCAAAATGAAATTATCATTATGCTAACATGGATCCTGTCATCAGAGTTGGGTTTTTCATAAGACTGAATAGCTGAATTCTAAAAAGACAATAATTTAAATACATGAGTAAAAACAAATCATGCAAACCAGTTCAAGATGCTAAATGCTAACTACACAGGTGATCATATAATATATTGGCACAAAAACAAGCAAATCATACCTGGTGTTAAAAGTATTACAGACATTGTGATGAGTGAACATACAACTAGAATCACCAGCAGTGCAATTGCTATTCCCTTCCAGTTCCTCTGTGGTGGGCTGTTGCTTCCAAGGTCCTGGTGGGATTAAAAAAATGAAATTGGTCCTTAATGACTTATAAAATATTATCTATACAAGATATTATTACATGCATGCCTGTCATCATGGTGTGTTTTGATTATGAGTATCAGGCCTCATCGCACAGCAATTAATTTAATTATTTAGAAGTAACAATATAAACCATAATGAAATTGAGAGTACAAACGCTGCCCAAAATTTGATGGGCACTTTAATGTACTGAAGATGAACATCAGGACAACATAACCTGGCATAAGGTAATTAGAGAAATACAATAATTTAGTGTAATTCCATCTAACATGGTATATGGGTCATAAAGATTTAAGTACACATGGTTTTTAATGTGCAGTGCTTTACTTCCTCTTTTGAATCAAAAACATTTACTGCAAGAGAATCGTAATATTCAATGTTAAATTGAACAGCATTTTTTCTCTGTATCATAACATGTTTGTGAACTGCTCTCCTATTACTCATAAAAATCAAGGTAATTCTGTAGCAAAAGTGTTTCTAAAATTGCTGGAGCACTGAAGCACTTATTGTCTCATAGGATTTATGTGTATCACATATTGTATATGCCTTAGACAGTAGGGATTTACATTGTTCTATAGAAGGCAAACTCGCTATTCCTTTTTGAAAACACTGAGAAGGGACCCATTTTTAAAAGAAATGCAGATTATAATTTATATTGAACATCGTCACATAGAAACACAGGGCTGTGTAATACAGAAGATGTTACCTTCATTTGGACTAAATAATCAGTTGCAATGAGTCTGCATGGTCATATCCATCACCAAATGAATCCATAAGCAGCCCTATTGTGGACAGGAGACTGCATTGCCAAATATACAGTGGTGCCTCGCAAGACGATTGCCTCGCGGGACAATTAATCCACAAGATGATTCGTTTTTGTGATCTCTGTTACGCTTCGCAAGACGGTTTTTTCCTATGGATGATTTTTCCAAGACGATGTTTGGGTCTATGCTTCTCAAGACAATTTTTTTAAAGAGACGCTCTTTCGCAAGACAATGTTTTTGATAGTTGGGTCCGCATCTTGCAAGACGATTTTTAATGGACACTTTTTTGCAAGATGAATGTTTTTCTATGATATTTATAAAGTTTTTTTATTTGACTTTGTTCTGACGTTTTTTGCCCATAGGAATGTATTAATTAGATTTCAATGCATTCCTATGGGGAACCGCGTTTCGCAAGACGATGTTTTAACAAGACAACATTTTTCGTGGAATGAATTAACATTGTCTTGCGAGGCACCACTGTAAAGCTAATGACTAAGACCACTTATACCTGAGATCCTCCTTGTATAGATAAGATGCAGAACCTCTTTGGTTGCGCATATGATCTTTCAAATTTTCTCACACCATTTGTAAGTAGAGAAACTTGGGTGGGGGGGACAATTTCAGTAAAGTTCCATAGGGGAGAAAAACATTATCGTAACAATCATTCAGAGGTTGGGATGATGATTAACAGTGGTTGTAGCAAAGCTTTGTTCTTGTTTTGTTCTTCCCAAGGTATATTTGGTTCTGCATTTCCACTGCAAGCGGCAAAGCAAAAATAAAACTTAGCAGCCATGTTGGGAGTCTGGCACCATTTTATTTCTTCCAAAGTGTCCCTATTATCATTCTAGGTATTATGGTGATTGTAGTGGAGAGACAGAAAAGGTGGAGAAAGTCCAGAATTAATTCTCCCAATTTGGGCTTCTATTTTTCTGGGGGTAAGAAAAACAAAAAATCTTTCATTCTTTTTCTGTTTCTCATCAATTTTGGCTCAACACATTTTAATTGTTGAGCATCCTTTGCAGGCGTTATGAATGTTACATTTTTGGTAAATTGCAGTACAATCTGCAGTAAAGATTTGGTAACAATTTTTACTGCAGATCCTTATAGCTCCTTCCCTGTAAGCACTGTAGCAAGCATGAGGGAGGACTGTGTTGTGGTCAGTTCCAGAAAGAAGGGTTCAAGTAGTGATATGCCATAACATTCTATTTCTTCGGGAAATATGTTGTTCTTGCTACTGATGATCTCACTGTAATTTGTAACTTGTTCACTGAGTTACAGTGTTATAAAAACAGGACTAAAGTTCCTCTTTTATTTCAAGAATTTAATATATCTTTTTTATGCATGTGCATCTCTAAAATGCATGCTGGGAAAGAGGGATGTATAATTCAGTGTTCTTTTCCACAGAGCATGTCATGATATCTTGCATTTAGACTATTTCCTTCTCTAACCTGCTGTTGTCATATGCTTACAAGCAGGGTCTGAGCCTGCAAATGAGCAAAAGAGAAAACAACAAAAAAAGGTGTGTATTCGTCATTTTGCAACTGTAGCCACATGCGCTGTGAAGACTGTCAGGGATGATGCTCTAAGAAATAAATCAAGGGATAAGAAAACAGCACCACTCAAGGCAGTCTGCATGCATGCAGAAAATATAAATTAACTTGAAATCAATCATGGTTTGAATTCTAAAACATCAAAATTTGTTGGACTCATTGCACATCTGAGAACTACAAACATCCTGGCAATGCCTCTAAAGGCTACTTTACTTCCAAATCAACTAATCTAGATTTTTTTTGGTGGCATCACATTTTCTATGACTAATTTTCTTTTCATTTTGTTTCTTGTAGTTTGTATTCTAGCTGAAAAGAAAGCATGAACAAATACTGGTCTTCAGGTAGGGTCAATATCTGCCAAGATTTTTTTTAGGGGAAAAAAAAGATGGTATACATTACAAGTGAAATGGTTGAGGCTACGCTTTTGTTAGGTTTGCTATATTGCTTAGTTGGCAGAGTTTCGCCCATATTTGACATGTACCATCAGTTAGTGCAGATTCTATTTTTTTTTTCATTGAGAAAAGAAAAGAAAAAGTCTACAGCCCTTATAAACCCAGATATATAAAGTAGCATGTGCAGCCATTGTTTGGGCCAATGGTTTGCAAGAAGAAAGAACCCTTTCTGTGTGATTAACCAATGAGTGAAGTCATCCACAGTTTAACAAGGCCTCATAAAATAAAGATTCTGTGTAATTCTTGCTGTGGGAATGTTCTTCACATTAAAATAGGGAGAAAATAGAGTATTGCCACTATATCTGCCCATTACAAAAATATAATATGACTATGTTAATTAAATCACTAAAGTGCTATCCTATTGTTTTTATTCACACTATGCATAATATATAATGCACTTGAAAAATATATATGATACAATTACAGCCACCAAAAAGTGAAAACAGAACTGCAGTTAGTACCAATTGTAGGTGCTGCCAATTGATTTCTTGCCATTTTCATACAGCTCTTTAGTCATGTTCAAGGAATGGGAGGCGTGAGCTCGCAACTAAGGAGTACTGCTGGTGGCCCCAAACTGAACCGTCTATGGTCTTGCAGAAAAGTTGACTTATAAAGAAGCATAATATCTCCTTTATTAATAAATGCAGAATACAATAAAGCAATACAGTGGGGTCTTGACTTAAGAACGGCTCGAGTTAAGAACATTTTGACTTAAGAACCACTCTCATAGGAAAATATTGACTTGACTTAAGTACTTAGATTTGAGTTAAGAACTGAAAAAAAACCCATGTGGGAGGCAGGGAAAGTGCAAAATTTGAACTTTCAGTTAACTGTTGGCCAGTGAAAAGGGTGCCTGTCTGCTTCCTCACTCCTCCCAGCGTTTAGAGAGTGGATTGGGAGACAGTCTTCGGACTGCCTGGTACTTGTACTGCCTGGACTCTATTTTCCCTGCCTTCCCTGAACCTTTCTTGACCTAAGAAAAAAAGAAACAAAATATCCCCCTCTAGTGGTCGAAGGCAGAATAGCAGCTTCCCATTAGTTTCTATGGACGGAAAAGAGCAGATACGGATCAAATGGTTTTCAATGCATTCCTATGGGAAAAGCAGATTTGACCTGAGAACTTTTTGACTTGAGAACCGCCTTCCAATACGGATTAAGTTCTCAAGTCAAGCCCCCACTGTATAAGGTACATCAAGGTAAAATAAGATGACTTGAGCATGCATGTTTAAAAATAGCAAATATCCTTATAATAATTTGCTGATATGGAGATACATGAGAGTTAAACAAACAAACAAACAAACAAACAAACAAACAAACAAACAAACAACAACAACAACAACAACAACAACAATCATCATCATCATCATCATCATCATCATCATCATCATCATCATCATCATCATCATCATCTGACAGAAGCTTAATAAAAAGAAAGGTATTAGAGCCTGTCCAAATTGACCATTTTGGGTGTGGGGTGAATTAGGCTACAAAGATCAGGGGTGAGTGGAATTATGTGCCACCTGGTGCGCTCCTCCCTTTCAAACAGCAAACGGCCCCTTTAGCACTCCCCCTAATCATCTGCAGAGGGTCAGTGCAAGTGCAACTTTTTTACATCATTCCTCTCTCCCTCAGTGGGAGGCCATTTTGTTTTCTCCTCTCCCCACTTCCCTTCCCTCATTTTCCCCCTGCAGGAATCCCTGCCCCACCTCCTTGCCCAAGTGGCCAGCTGCTGCAGGAAGTGGAGAAGGGAAGTCCACGCCACTGCCCAGACTGGAAGATCATGAGACAGGGATGGAAGGATTAAGTCAGTGGGTGAGCTAGAGGGGGGAGGGGGAAGGGAACATGCGGCCGCTGTGCTATCACAGAGATGACTTATGATGAAGGGGCACAAAGTACCATCTCTATTCCAGAGCCATCCTTTCCATATCTTTAGTGAAGATTTTTGGCACTTTCCTGTTGAATGTAATTTCTACGTGTAGTGCCATGCATCTAAACAGAATTAGGTGTTTTTGTTTTAAATGACTATTCTTAGGGGGGGGGGGAGACCAAGGGGAGGAGAGATGGATAGTTTGTGATATTTTCTATCTCCTTATAGACCTTGACCCAAAATTGGGAAATTGGTGGGCAACTCCATCACACCTTTAAATAAAGTGCCAGGCATGCTACAGTCTCTTCACCACTCTGCTTCTAAAGTTTTCTAAGA